TCGGAGCGGAGCGGAGCGAGGGGAAGGAGAAGGTAGCCGCGGCGGGGACTGCAGGAGCACAGGCGGAGAGGAGGTTGGAAAACAGCGGGCTGCGTCTGGGCTGACTCTTCTCTCTGCGTCTCCACGTAGAGGCCTTAAGGACATGGAGCTGGACTCGTCTTCCATTGAGAAGCGGTTTGCCTTTGGCTTCCTGCAGCAGTTGCTTCGTTGGATGGACATTTCCCAGGAGTTCATCGCCCACCTGGGTATGGAGAATTTTCTCCCTGATCCCACCTCACCTGCGGAACCCAGTTAAACAGACACAGACTCCCTAGAACACCAGTTCGTGCGTTTCTCCTTCCTCCCCTTACTCAATATTTACTGAGACTCTACTATGTGCCAGACACTGTTCTAGATGTTGAGGATACAGCAGTGAACAAGACAAAGAGCCCTGCCCTCCTGCAGCTAAATTCCTGGGGTGGATTCAGACAATTAATATCATGCATAGCTAACTCATTTAGTCTATTAGAAGGTGGTTAGAGGAAGGAAACAATACAGAGGCTGGGTGCAGTGACTCACACCTATAATCCCAGCCCTGAGGGAGGCTGAGGAGGGAGGATTACTTGAACCTAGGACTTCGAGACCAGCCTGGGCAGCATAGTGAGACCCTGATCTCATCTCTACAAAAAATTTAAAAATTAGGCATAGTGGCACATACCTGTAGTCTCAGCTACTCGGGAAGCTGAGATGGAAAGATCACCTGAGCTCAATAAGTCGAGACTGTAGTGAGCTGTGATGGTGTCACTGCACTCCAACCTGGGTGACAGAGTGAGACCCCGACTCAAAAAGAAATAAACTTGAAAACTAAAAAAAGAAAAACAATAGAGTCAAGTAGGGGGATTGAGAGTGTGGAGCCAGATGTTTTATTTTATTTTATGCTATTTTTTGAGTAGGAGTCTCACTCTTTCATTCTGGCTAGAGTGCAGTGGCACGCTCACGGCCACCACAGCCTCAACCTGCTGGGCTCAGGTGATCCTTCTGCTTCCAGCCTTCTGAATAGCTGGAACTACAGGCGTGCACCACCACACTCGGCTAATTTTTTTAGATTTATTGTAGAGACAGGGTCTCACCAAGCTGCCCAGGTCGTGAACCCCTAAACTCAAGCAATTCTCTCACCTTTGCCTCCCAGAGTCCTGGGATTACAGGTGTGTGCCACTGAAAACCAGTTCATGCACAGCACCTGGATTAATTTTTTCGATTTATTGTAGAGATTAGGTCTCATCATGTTTCTTGAACCCCTGGGCTCAGGCAATCTTCTCTCCTTGACCTCCTAAAGTGTTAGGATTACAGGTATGAGTCACTGTACCCAGCCAGCTGTAATTTTAGAGAATGTTCAGAGAAGGCTTTGATGAGAAAGTGATATCTGAGCCAAGACAAGGAGTGAGGGAGGAGGTGTGTGGATATCTGGAGCACATTGCTTCCTTCCAGGCAAAGATTGGCATGTGCAAAGGCCCTGAGAGGTCCCTGGTTTGAGGGTTAGGACGCCCGTGGCTGAAGCAGAGTGATTGAGGAGAGAGAGGAAGTGAGGACACAAAGGTGACAGGGGCAGAGTGTGTAGGGCTCTGCACGCTGTGGTGAGAACTTTGCCTTTTACCCAGAGTGAGATGGAGCCTCAGGAGGGCTCTGAGCACAGGCAAGAAGTGATTGGACTCAGGTGTTCACAGGGTCCCTTGGGCTTGACTGGGGCAGGGCAGGAGCAGAGAAAGATGAGGATGGGGCAGATTCTGGATGTATTTTGAAAGCTGGGTCTGTTGGGATGCCCCCTGGATGTCTCTCATATACTCTGAGAATCACAGCTGGGTCCCTACATTTCTCTCCAGTTTGCCCCAGAGATTCCCAGAATTCCCCAAATTCCCTCCAGGTGAGTGGCAGTGTGGGATTCTCTCTCATATCTCACCTCAAATCCCACGTGCTGATCCTTTGTGCTGCACACCCCCTTGGCAATTTCCTCCCCTCTCAGAACCTCTGTTTACTCATCTGTAGCAGGGGCATGCTGTTCACCATAGGCAACCACAGTTCTGTCACTGGCTGGGGAAGCTATTTTGTTACGGTCCATGTAAACACTCAACTGCTTTCTCTTGACACCAATAAATTGAGAGGCAGGGAACTGGCCGAAAGAAGTTTATTTCTGAATTCAGAATTCAGGGAGACAGAACCTGGCTCCTGCATTTCTGCAACTGATCTGCTCAGTGATTAGGTTTCACAGTTCATTTTTGTAAGTTTAGGGTTGCTGGTAACAATACATTAACTATGTGACGGACTGCGCTTTGTATAGAACTTAAGTTACAGCTGTATTTTGTCAATAGTGACTTTATTTTTTGCATTGGAGTCTCACTCCATCGCCCAGGCTGGAGTGCAGTGGCACCCTCACGGCCAGCCCAGCGTCAACCTGCTGAGCTCTGGCGATCCTTCTGCCTCAGCCTTCCAAGTAGCTGGAACTACAGATGCGCGCTACCACACCCAGCTAATTTTTTGATTTATTGTAGAGATGAGGTCTCACCATGTTGCCCGGGCTGGTCTTGAACCTGAAGGCTCAGATAATCCTCTTGCCTCAGCCTCCCAAAGTGCTGGGATTACAGGCTTGAGCCACTGTGCCCGGCAATAGTGACATTTATGTTCCACATTTCCTGGTGCTGGTTACCAAAAGGTAGCTCACAGTAACATCAAACAGAGGAGATGATCAAGCTTGCCATAGAGTAAGGGAGTTAACAGAGCCTATTACAAAGTAAAACAGTAGCCGGGCTCGGTGGCTCAGCCTGTAATCCTGCGCTCTGGGAGGCTGAGGTGGGTGGATTGCCTGAGCCCATGGGTTCGAGACCCGTGTGGGCAACTTGGCGAGACCTCATCTCTACAATAAATCAAAAACTAGCCGGGCGTGGTAGTGCGCGCCTGTAGTTCCAGTTACTTGGAAGGCTGAGGCGGAAGG